GGAACAGCTGGTAGTTTCGAACTGCTGACCTTGCGGTTCACAGCCCACTTCATAACTACCACGCTACCAGAGCACCTCACCTTAAATAATAACTCTTTAATACCAAATATCTAATCCATTCAAATTTCCTCACGTGTCTTCTGATTATGAAATAAAGAAACCTCTGCCCTCAAAATAAACCATTGTTGCCATGGAATCAGTTCAGACTCAGAGTGATCCTTGAGAACAGCACACATAGGGTTCCCTAGACTTTAAATCTTTACAGAAACATTGATACATCTTCCTGGATGCCGCTGGTGGGTTTGACCACTGACCTTTCATTTAGAAACAAAGAAAAAGTTAGTTCAGAATTGAACTCAAGCAAGATCCACGTAGTATAATTGTATATTATGTATCTTGTTGCATTTAATCCACATGTTCGCCTCTTTGTTCCCTCCGTTCACGCTAAATTACTTTCAACTCATTTATTTGTTGAAGAAGCAAGATCGTTGTTTTGGATTTTTCTACCTTTCTATCCATCGGAGCTTTGGTAGCGTAGTGGTTACAAATCAGGCTGCGAACTGCAAGGTCAGCAGTTCGAAACTACCAGCTGTTCTGTGGGAGAAAGATGAGGTGTTCTGCTCCCATAAAGATTTACACCTCAGAAACCCTGTACAGGGTCGCTATGAGTTGAAACCGACTCCATGGCACACAGCCGCCATATCCATGGAGGTACTTAAAATATTTCTCTGTTCACTCTACGAGGAAGTTTCCAAAAGTTCATGAAAAGTGGGAATTAAAAGGTAATGGGATTTCCCCCATGAACTGCGTAATGCTCCCTTTACACTAAAGACCCCATCTGATTCAGGGTCCATCTTTTGGCCACAAAACTTACTAGGTCTGTAGCACATGTCCCTTCAGAAGCATATGCTATCTAGGGTCCTTTCTTGGAAGTATTCTTCATTGCTGTTGTTGGGTACCATCAAGTCGACCCCATGTTGCAGAGTAGAAGCGCTGTCACCTTTATGGGAGCAAATCACTAGGCCTTGTTCTAGAGAGCTGTCAAATGGGTTCAAACTGACAACCTCTCTATTAGCAGCTGAGCTCTTAACCATTTCATCACTTGTCTGCTGGTGAGTCACGTCTGACTCATAGTGACCCTCTATAGGGTTTCCAAAGTTGGAAATCTTTAAGGGAGCAGAAAGCCTCCTCTTTCTCCCATGGGGCAGCTGGTGGACTCAAACTGCTGACCTTTCAGTTAGCAGCCAGCCAGTAACCCACCACATGGCCAGGGATCATTGTTGTTGTTGTAATGTGTTGTCGAGTCGCTTCAGACTCATAGTGACCC